AAAGGGGTTAGGGATGTCTCTCAGAGTGAAGGCCTTGGGTTCCATCCTCAGTACTGCAAAGAAACAAACAAAAACAACCACCAAAAAATGGATGTGAACAAAGCCATCATTAAATCTGTGTATGTTACCTCTGTGGACAATAAAACAAAAATCTCAAATAAGAGACACTCAGAGTCAAAAGTGAAGAGTAATGAATACTTGACTGAAGGTCTAAGTTTTTCTGGAACTTGGAGTATTCTTAGTAGATTATTTTAGATAATACACATGAGAATCCAGTGAGGTAGCTACCATTAGCCCCTTTTCATGGATGAGAAAACTGAGGCTCTGAGAATGCTCACAGAGCTCTGATTAATCTCCAGGGTTATTTGCTTTCCAAACGTTTGCTCTTGCCTGTAATCTGAAATGTTGAAGCAAGAAAATCACAAGTTTAAGTTAGACTGGGAAACCTAGAGAGTTAACGTGACCCTGTCTCTAAATAAAAACTAAAAAGGGCTAGGGAGTGTAGCTCAGTGTAAAGGCCCAGGGTTCAATCCCTAGCACTGAAAAAAAGGGGCTCATTTGAGGTAGGATTCCTCTCTGATATGCCCTATACACTGAAATCTGCTTTGTGGCAGTGGCACCTAGTCAGGATATTTTATGAGTGAAAACTGAGGTCCAAAGAAGTGAGGAGACTGTCCCAGAAGCAGAGTCTGTCCTAGTGCCTATGGTTGCCAGGCCTTGTCTTACTGTAGCTTTAAAAGCCCTGCATGAACCCACACATCCGTTCTCTCTGCATGAGAAATGGGAATTTCACTGTGAGTGAAATGGTTGAGCTTTCTCATCAGGGGAGGGACGGTCACTGGTCTGTTTGTTCAGAGTGCTGAGTCTACCTTGAACCCCATGGCAGTGCTTATCTTACCATCACAGCACACATTGTTTTAGCTTCCGCAGCTTCCCATCATTATCTTATTCTTTCAATTCCTTGAGCCCCAGGTTTTGTAAGGCTAGACAAATAAAACTCAGTGTTTTGTCTGGGGGGAAATAGATGACTGTTGAGAATGATGTGTATGACACACCCAACCTGTTTATAACATTAAAGCTTGAATTTCCAAATAGCGATTCATTCAGCTTGGAGAGACACATACAAACAGAAATGGATTGACTCAACAGTTTGCATGCCTTCAATCCTCGTGACAAAAATTGCCTATTATTGAGAGTATGAACATTTAAAAAAAAATTAGAAACAGCTGGAAGACAGAGTTGAAGAGAATGCTCAGGATGAGGGGAAAGCATATTTGTGTTCTGTGCTCTATACAGACTGCCACACCTTTTCGATTAAGTTTCCACTATTTTTGTTTTAATTTGAACAGGGGATCTTGCTGTCACCCTTGTAATATAGGCCTGGAACAATTCCAGCTGTTGCCCACCTACCTGGTGGGACCCAGTGACAGTTAGGGAGCAGAGTGCATGGAGGATGAAGAGTCAGGCTTCTCCATGGAGTAAGCCCCAGTATTACAGACAGCTAAGTTAGGTAAAAATATTCTAGGCAGTCAGACAGGGCTAGACCCTTGAGGAAATCAGTACAGAAGCTGAGGAAACATTACAACTGTGGCTAGAGGCCCATCTGTCCAAGGCCAGGCCTCAAGATACAGACAGAATGACCAGGCCTACATGCTTCCCCAAGAGATAAGCAATGAATTGAAAATTATACTGTAATTGGTATCACTTAGTCCAATAAAGTCTAGATAAACATCAGTCACCCAGATGAGTGACCAGGACCTCCTGATCCATCTTTCCTAAAAAGGTCCTTGTTCTTTCCATGTACCCTTGCTATGTGAACTGCTTCCTATTTGGATCAATATTACCTAAGTGACTATACTTATAATCCTATTGCTTGATCATAGTTTTGACCCACGTTGTACCCACCTCATGATTTTGTACCCACCTTGTGATTCTGCTGTATAAAACTTCTTCTAAGAAGTGGGCTCATTGGCAACCCACTTTTGGGTTACCTCCTCTCTCTCAGGAGCTCTCTCTCTCTCTCAATAAATTTTTCCTACTCTTAACCTCCATTGTTCCTTAGAATTCATTCTTCAATTTGGGGGAACACGAACTACATGTATCTGCCATCTAGCAGGTTGGAAATTATATTATTTCCTCTATATCACCAGGGACAGTAGCACTCGGGCCCTTGAGGAAGACAGGTAATGAAAAGAGTGGGAAGGTCAGATCAGGAAAGTGTCTGAATCCTGACAGCAACCTTACTGTCTTACAAATAGGGAAGATGAGCCCATGAGCAAGTAAGTGACTTCTTCCATAGAGGGTCTTGGTGTCAGTGTCAACACATGAACCCAGGACTCCGGATTCCCAGGCCTGTGCTCTTGCAACTACTTCCTGCTGTCATCTCAGACTCCAGCAAGGCAATGCATGTCTGGAAGCAATTGCTTAGTATGCAAGCCAGGCTGACCTTTATGCTCTCAGAATCATCAACCTTTTGTTGGAAACCATGGAAGTAACGGTTCTGGGAAAATCATGAAAATCATACCACAGTGTAGAAACAACCAAAAGCCCTGCTCAGACTGCAGTGGTCTTCCTACCTTCCAAGTATTGAATCCCAAATATGCATACTCACTGCAACCCAGGTTGGTCTTAGAAATAAGGAGATGGAAAACCAAAGTCCTGACAATTCAGCCTGTTTTCTTCTTCTTTTGCCTTTTATTCGAAGAAATCTCTTCCCCCAAAGCCAAATTCTGGAGCATCTGGGCCTTTGTTATTCAGTTCCTGAGAGAAACCAGCTCCAGGGAGCAGGAGTGGGGGCAGTCCAGAACTGCAAGAGGCCTGCTGAACATCCACCCAATGCCCAAGCCTGGCCTCAGGAGAACATAGCTCTTGGGACACACATCAGGATCCTCTGATCCCTGGCCCCTGTGCTGAAACCCCTGTGCTGTGTTTCAGTAACAGTAATACCCTAAACCCTCCCTCACCACCGCAAAACAGTTTTCTTTCACTTCCAGGAGCCCTGACATATGGATTCCACCACAAGAGTTTCATCTCTTTGCTCTTCAAGCATGCGGTATGTGTATGTGGAAGAGCTTGTAAATGTAGAATTCTCCAGTGAGGTTTTGTATATATTCCCACCAGAGTTTTAGTGACACATTAGATATTAGATACTGAATTTTACAGCTTTGCCCTGTCCTCCTTTGGCTCTGCAGATGTCAGTCTCACTGGCCTTTCCTCTGAAAGTCAAGACTGAGAGTGTGTGTGTGTGTGTGTGTGTGTGTGTGTGTGTGTGTTTGTGTGTGTGTTGGGCACGCGCGCCTGTACAGGGCACAGGTTCCTCTTCACAATTGAAAAGAGTAAATCCTGGTTTTCCTTATGCTGCTCACCACCCTCCCCTGCCCTCCACTCAAGGCATTTCCCATGTTCCAATCCCACTAATTCCTCTTACATTAGAAATTCCAGAGGTAGTTGCCGAAAGCTTGAATGAGTGAACCATGGGTTCACAAGTATTTCCCTAGTGATCCACTGAGTGCCATTACAATTATGTTATTGTGGTAGGGGGACCCTTCTACAGCACAGGGAGCCACCTACTGGGCAGGCTAAAGAGATTGACTATGGGTGGCCAAGAAGCGGAGGCAGCTGAGCTTCTGGACCACCCCATTTGCTTGCCACTCTTTGGCCCACCTTTTTACCTGCACTTGGGGAGCAGGTTCTGTCCCACAAGCCTGGGGACATCAGGTGAGTCCTTGGGGAAGCTGACAAGTCTAACTTGTATGTTGCAGCATCTGGTCCTTAGCACAACTTCACTAGTTAACCAGAGTATTCCCTGGAGCCTGAGCACAGGCAATGCCTGGAGTGTCTGAGAAGTCCACTATCTTTTGTGCCTACAGCTGGACAAAGGGTGCCTCACTGACCTGAGTAGGTTTGGGGGCATATGGAAGTCCACCCAGGGCTGGAGATCCTAGGGAGCAAACAGGGTGGGCCACAGCTATTAAATGGCCTGAGAAGGTTTAAGGTCACTTGGCACACTCACACCTAGAGCAGCAGGTAAACACGAATGACCTTACATTTAGAGCTGCCCAAAGGTTTCAACATTTCATTTTCACAGTAACCTAGTTGGTCCCATTTTACAGAAAACGAAACTGAGGCTCAGGAGGGGCAAGTGACTATTGCAGGGTTGCTCAGCAAGGAAGTAATATATTTCCCAGGACTCCTAACCAGTGCTTGCATTGCTGCTTCAAAGTACAGAGAGACCAGGAAAAGAATGGAGCAGAGCACAGCGAGGGAGATATTGGGAGAGTCCGTTTCTGGAGGCCCCCAACCCAGGACTCAGCTCACAGCATCACTGCACTGCTCTGAAACACTGCTGCCACCCTGTGCCCCTTCTACAGCAGCAGTGGGGCTGGAGAGAGTGCGTACTCAGGCAAGAAAACACCAGTGTCCTGATGTACTCCAAGCTCCCCTGACTAATCACAAGAGCACAGTCAGTCTGAGCCCTAAATTCCCAGGGTCCTTGTCCTAAAAGGACATCCATTCTTTTCCTGTTAACCCCTGCATGCCTAGTCTTGCAGCAGAGAAGAGCCTTCTGGACAACAGGGCTTGAGGACATCTATGTCTATTTATTAAAAAGAGGTAGTGTTCCTATCAAGAAATTGGTGGATCGTGCCTGGTTTTCTCGGAACAAACCCTAGGGCTCTGCTGTGTGACCTTGGGCGCATCCCTAGTCCTCTCTGGGCCTCAGTTTCCTCGTGTGTCACATCATCCAGGAATAGATGATTTCACTCCAATGCCATGTTTAGTTACATGTTGCATCCATTCGTTTGATAAACCCTTTCGAATGAAGTCTTCCCACAAGACCAGGCTTGGCGCAGCAGATTCACAGACAGGAGAGGAGTGAGAATGAGTCTTGGCTTTGAAAATGCTCAGATTCCCCGCCCTATACTGTTTTTTGGGCATGCTTCCTTTTTCATGCTGACTTACCTTTTTCAGAAAATGCCCCCGCTTCCGTTGGAGAATGGAAATTGGCAAAGAGAGAGGGAATAGGTCCAATTTACGCCTCTGCTATTTTAGGGGCGGTTGAAATTATGAGCCAAAGTGGAGTGATGCGCTCTCTGGAGTGACCTCCGCTCTCCAAGGCAGGAGAAAACCCACGTCCTCTCCTCGTGAAGTGGCTCGAGCTCTTGAGCGAGAGGCATTATTATATAAATTCAAGCTTGCTCCTGATCCTTAGTACCCTGAGTTGCCTGAAGGGGGGAATGGCTCTGTCTGCGTGTACAGCCCGGGCGCTCCGGCAGCCTCTGCAACCGGAGCAAGGAGCGCCCTCCCGCACCACCTGTCCTCGCCGGCATTCCAGAGTAGAGGCCGAATTGGCAGAGAGCCGGCCCGGGTCATTCGCCGCCTCAGTCCGCGCCGGCCCTCCTAGGGGTGTGTCTCAAGGATTCTACTCCCAGCCGATCCAGGACAAGCCCCTAAAGGCTTCTTCCTCTCTGGCGGGAGCCTTGAGCGCCCCGCTCCTCGCGCTGCTGCCCCGAGGTCGCCGCAGGCGGATGCACGACCTCAGGCGACGCTGGGACCTGGGCTCCCTCTGCCGGGCCCTGCTCACTCGGGGCCTGGCCGCCCTGGGGCACTCGCTGAAGCACGTGCTCAGTGCGATCTTCTCCAAGATTTTCGGCCCCCTGGCCAGGTACGTTCTGGAAAGCGCGGCTCGCGTTCTCGCGCCAGGGCGCACAGGGGCCGTGCGGGGAGGGAAGGCAGCCTCGAGCGGAGGGAAGGGCTCAAAGTTCCAGCTAGCCGGTGGTGGCCGGTCTTGGCGCGCAAGTGACCACGCTGAGGGTCCTTCCCTGCCCTGCTGTTCCGCGGGCGCCAGCAGCTCAGCGACTCCGCTTGCAGGTCGGGCTGCCGGTGGGCTTCTTCCCACAGAGGAACTCGAAATCCCGGCTCTGAACCCACTCGAGGCGACCACCCGGGTGGGCGACTGGGTGCGCCCGGGAGCTGGGCTTCGGGACGCGTGAGGAGAGAGCCCGCGAGTCGGGTGGGCAGTGGCGCGCGCGCCCAGGGGGCTGGGGTCGGAAGAGCCGGGAAGAGTCCGGGGGGCGAAGCGCGATGGGAGCCTTGGAGAGTGGAACTAGAAGCGCGGGGGCCCGGCTGGGGGACTTGAGTTGGGGAGTCGGGCGACGGAGACTGGAGGGGTCACACGGGTACAAAAGCCCACTAAGGGGCTCCGGAAGGGCTTCGGTGGAAAGAGGCGCAGGGGGCCAGGGGGAAAGGGTCGGGATGGGGTGTGTGTGTGCGGCAGAAGCCACAGCGCTGAGCCTGCCGGGAAGGAAGGAAGCGGGGAAGGGCGCCCTGGCCGCCGCCGCTGCCGCCACCGCCGCGATGGAGTACTCGGTGCGGAGGGGAGGGGGAGAGGGGCGCAGCGGCGCCGGGGAAGGGGGCGTTGCGGGCGCGCGGCGAGCTCGGGCTGAGTTGCGGGATTGACGTAACGAGCTTGGGTTTCCCCCAGCGTCGGGAACATGGATGAGAAATCCAACAAGCTGCTGCTGGCTTTGGTGATGTTCTTCCTATTTGCCGTGATCGTCCTCCAATACGTGTGTCCCGGGACAGAATGCCAGCTCCTCCGCCTGCAGGCGTTCAGCTCCCCGGTGCCGGACCCGTACCACTCGGAGGACGAGAGCTCCGCCAGGTTCCTGCCCCGCTACAATTTCAGCCGCAGCGACCTCTTGCGCAAGGTAGACTTCGACATCAAGGGCGATGACCTGATCGTGTTCCTGCACATCCAGAAGACCGGGGGCACCACTTTTGGTCGGCACCTGGTGCGCAACATCCAGCTGGAGCAGCCGTGCGAGTGCCGCGTGGGTCAGAAGAAATGCACTTGCCACCGGCCGGGTAAGCGGGAGACCTGGCTCTTCTCCAGGTTCTCCACGGGCTGGAGCTGCGGGCTGCACGCCGACTGGACCGAGCTCACCAGCTGCGTGCCCGCGATGGTGGACGGCAAGCGCGACGCCAGGCTGAGACCGTCCAGGTGTGTGTTCTTCTGTAGCGGAGCGGGCCCTTGAAACACTGAACCGACCTGGGCTTGAGCGGGCTGAGGGCGGGAAGGCGCTATCGCCTGCTACCGGACGCCCAGCCCGCACCTGGGCGCTCGGGAGGGCGCTCCCCGGATGGGCAGGTGTTAGGTACTCTGGTGCCCACCTTTGCAGTGCCTTGGCGGCTTGCGAAAGTCTCTCAACTTTGGCTTGGGAGGGCCCTCGGTGTGAGAAGGTCGGCTGGCTTGGTGGTGGGAGTCTGTGCGGGCCGCCGCCGCCGCCTGGACCGGGCACTAATTAGCCCTGGGGAACTGCTCTTGGCGGGCAGCGTCTCAGGGTGTCTCTCCTGTGCCCCTCCGTCCGGAAGCTTCTTGTTTTGCGCCCGCATTCTCTTCTCCTTGTTTCCCTTTAGCGAGAAAATTCTCGTTCTCTTGTGTTCCAGATCTTGTCTGCTCCGGGTTGCTAACTCTTTCCTCCTCCTTCTGTTTTTCTCTCTTTTCTTTTTGCCCCTTTTCACCCTTTCTATCGTCTTTTACTGGCCCCTTCTCTCCTTACCCCGCTCTCCGCGGGAGAGTGGTGTTCTCTGCCCCTGTTTGAACACTGGGAGAGAGCTCTTCATTCCCAGCCCATCTCTGGCGGCTGCCAAGGCACCAGCCGAGTTTTGCTAGTGCGAGGGGCACCCCGTGGGCTCAGGGCGGTTGGGAAGCTGGCCTGGACCCCTTAGGAGGTTCAGGTGCGCACGAGAAGCCTCTCCTGATGCACAAAAATGCACGCGCCTCCACACTGGGCGCCCTCTGCCCAGTGTCAGGGAGCCTGGGGATGATGTGGAAAAAGCTGATTGATGAATAGTCCCCAGCCAGAAGCAAGGTATCTTCTTCCCTCCAGTGCAATGATCAGTTACCTACCGGAGGTCACGGAATGCTATAAAGGGGTCCAGTGTGGTTATTTGGGGGGGGGGGGAGTTGTTCCAGCCAAGTCTAGTGTTTCCTGAAAACAAACCTGGCTTAGGTCAGTGAGTCAAGGGTATGCACAGGTGTGTTTGGTTGCCAGGGAGCCTTTGAGCAGGTGTCTTAGAGTGGACAGGGTTATGGCCTTGCCCCCACCCCATGCAGGTGACAGAGACCTTCAGACTGTCGCTGCTGCGGCTGCTTGTCTGGGCCCCTTTCACCCTCCCCCGTGGGAGGGGGTGTTCAGTGTCCTGCACAAGGAGCTGCTTTTCAGCCAGCTTTAGGGTACAAGTGGGCGTGCTTTGCTCTTAACTGCAGCAGAAGGAGCCCTCCGACTTTCTGGGCATTATTAAGATTTCAAGGGAGCCTCATTTCCTACCTCCCTTGCTCACTTTCTCGTCCTTCCATTTCCTTTCTCAAATGTTAGAATTCTGGAAAACTCCCTTGAGGTTTCATTTCCTTTCGAGACTAATAGATGAGCTTTTCCATCCCAAGAGAACCTTGGCCCAGGGAAGGTACCTCAACCTCCAATGCAAAAATTGGGTTAAGTCTTTGTCACTATAAGATTCTGTTGTTGGCACTCAGGGGGGCTGAGGCAGGAGGATTACAATTTCAAGCCCAGCCCCGGCAAATTAGTGATGTACCAAAGGCCTATATGAAAATTAGAAAATAGAAAAGGGCTGGGGATATAACTCAGTGAGAAGGCTCTGGGTTCAGTCCCCAGTACTGCCAAAAAAAAAAAAAAGATGTTTAAGAAGGTCTTAAACAATTTATCATGATTAAAAATCATCTCTCCTGCTGACAGGGCTTGTAAGTGTGCTGAGGGATAGTGTAATTAAAAACAAAAGATCTCTGTGGAAAAAAAATGAATTCCATAGCTATGACTGTGGCAGAAAAGTAAAAAACAAGGTTGTAGTGGCCTTGGAAGCCACAGACGTGTCTGGAGTTCCACAAAACACATGTGCCTTTAGTAATTTGAACATGTAGGTCAGTAAGTGACATCTGTAAACACACATTATTATTATTATTATTTTTTGGTACCGGGAATCGAACTCAGGACCTGGTGCTTGCGAGGCAAGCGGCAGAACCCCTGAGCTAAATCCCGGGCCCCACATTATGAATGTAATCTGAGTTATCTATTTGGTTGCCATTGTCCTTTGGCAGATTCCTTCAGATATTCTCCATAAGATAATCAGAACCCCTCAAAGCCTCTTGGATATCCCACATGGAAGGAAAATTATTTGTAATAAACTAGGATTTTCTTGGCGTTAAAAGGGTGATACCACGATGCCATCTAGTCTGATTGAAGAAGAACTGTGTTTTTGAAAGTCATTTATTAGATTTTATGGCATTTGCAAAAAGTAAATAAAATTTGCCACACATTGCTCTTCAAGGGTACCATTTTATTTCATTCATTCCTGCCTACCTCTAGAAATCTGCATCCTGAAGAATAATGCTAGCCTGAGGGTTCCAGAATTTCCCTGGATGTTGACAGGTCCTTGCTTGCTGTTCTGATGATCTGGAAGTACTAAGAGGTGGATATGTGAAAGGGAGGGTGAGGGTGTGTCTGTGAGCCCGCACATGTGTAGGAGAATTGAAAATGTAGCAGCCAAGGCATCTGCATTGGCAGTGATTCCTGAGGGTAGTGAGCTTGTCTTGGGGAGATGAGAGTCTGCCTTCAGTTCCGGTGTCGGGCAGCCTCTGCATGCCAGCTGGTGGTCTCTGAGTTCTGTGGAACTGAAGGAAATAGCAGTTCTGGCTGGCTGGCTGGGGAGTTAAGACACCTGCGACTTTGTCGTAGGCCAGCAGTGAATCAGCTGTGTGACCTTGGAGCAGAGCCTGAGTAGAAAGAGCGTTTCAGATGTGTTTTCAAGTTGCTATCTTAGTATTTCTCTTTAAAACTTGCACTATCTTTTGGAGAAGGACATAGTGGACAGAAGTATTCTCCTGGGAACAAAGCCCAAAATGGTTGAAGGGCTTCCTCAAGGTTATTGAGCTTTTTAGTGGCACAATAGGAATCTCACTTCAGTACTGGCACAACACTTGCTCTGTGGACTGCGTCTTGATGAACAAGGGCTTTTACAAAAACATGAGGTGGTAATTGTGATTTGTAATTACCATGGGGTGAACACCCAGTATATGTTAGCTGTTGTTGTTATCACCTGGATCATCCCTGGCATCAGTAATTTTACACATTGGTTTTAAATAAGTGGTTGGGCCAGGGTTTCCATATCCATTGGGAGAACAGAATTGGACATCCCTGGTGCTTTATGCTCCCCAGGAGCGGGTCTTGGGGCTAGACTGTCAAAAGGACCTCTCCTGCCTCATTGAAAATCCCTGCATAGCTGAGCGAAGGGGATGGGGGCCTGATTGGTGAGGGTCAGTAAGGACAACATGGACCACCTTCTGACCCGCAGCCATTCATTCACTTTAGTGGAAGCATGCGAGGTTATCTTGGCTGCAAGCCAAGAACCTGAATCCTGCTCCCAGCGCCACATTTGAGATGTTTTCTTCCCCTGTGCATGATAAAGTACTTGGGTAATATATAACTGCGGAATAGAAACTACTGTGATCACATTGCCTGGAGAGGAGAAAGGGGGGTGGCACTTGGCTGGCAAAAGGCTTAAATTGTTTATTAAAATATTATTTCTTTAACAATTAGGAGTTGCATTTCATCCATCTGTTTGCCAGTATGTTGTCGGAGGTCAGAAAAGAGTCCTGTTCATTTTAGAATTTCTAAGACCACTTTTAGAATTTTCTAAGACTAACAATGTATCAAAACATTGTTGCTTACCAGCTGTTAAAATCCCCAAATTCTGCAGGCTTTTCTCAGGTCAAATTCCCTATGTCTGTAACCAACTCTAGTGTACCACTTGGTCTGTGGGAGGAATTCGGAACTGGGAAGGAAATACTAGTCCTGTTCTTACTCACTTGGTACCATGTTGGCTACCACACATGGGGTACAGGCAGGATCAGAGCCTGTGGCTGTGCATGTCAAATAATCTGGTGAGATGCTGCATCGTAGATTTCAAAATCTCTAAAATTTTCACAGCCATTTGGAAGAGTAACTAATTATCTGAAATCCAGCAGGATATCACTGGCAGAAAAAGACTAAAAGGTGCTTAGATGAAGAAAAGCTTTCTTTGGGGGTATTTATTCATTTAAAACAATTGTGGAAAAGACTTTCTTTTCTTTTCATTTCTTTAAAAAAGGTGGCTCTATTCTGAAAGAGAATTATAGAGTGCATGTGTCTGATCATGTCTGTCATGCTTAAGCCTGCACTCCTTCCTGTTCTTGCTTTTGCGGTAAGGCAAGGTGATGAGGCAGGATTGTGATACAGGTGAGGTAGTGACCCAATGGACTGTTACTCCAGCATTGGCAGTCTTGTGGTCCATTAGGCTGTGGGCTGTTGGTCTCTCAGCTTCCCTTGGCTGAAGATGCTTTTCTTCAGCCATCTTTGATGAAAGCTGTTGTACTTTTAATCTACCATGATAATTTCTCTATAATGCCAACAGTATTAGTTAATATCTTATATAGAAGACAAACAAATTTTTGGAGTCCCAACAAATTTCTTGAGGTAGTTCAAATGTTACTCAGGATTGGCTTCTGTTAATTTTAGGTTAGTGCCATTATGTGGCAATGAAAATATTGAAGCTTGTCTTTTATGGGCACCAGTCATCAACTGAGATAGTGTGAAATGACATTAAAAGAATAATCCTCCCTTTTCTCTGTCATTCATTAAACAAAATTTTATGAAACTGCCTATTATATTTCAGGGAAGACATGGCATCCATACCAATAATGTCTTTACTTACAAGAATGTATTAAAAATAAGGGAAATGTCTGTCTGTTATGTTGTAGTTTAAGGTCACACCTGGGAAAATCTGGTGGTTATGCCTTCAGAACCGCCCAAGCAGTCCAGAGAGATAAATCAAAACAAAGCCAAAACAGCCCACGTCACCATCTTCAGCCTCAAATGCGTATGTGAAGCACAGAGTTGTGTAGTACAGACATTGGTGGAAGAGGAAGTCTGATTTTGAGCAAATCCT